AACTGAAACATGGCAATCTAAGAAACTGGGAAAGCATTTGGAAAATTACTATAGTTAACCTATAGTTTATGTTGTACCCACCACAGTCAATCCCCATATTCAGATCAGAGCAAGCACAGGCATCATTCAGTACAACTGGCAAAAACTATAGCTTGGTGTTCATTTATTAACTGTCAGCAGACATCAAAAACAGCTAACCAGCAAAACAGGACAAAGGCAGGCAAAAACAGGGAGAGAGAAAACATGAGCAACAGGCAAGAGATAAAAGGACAGAGGAATTAATATCAACAATCCAGATTATCTATGTATCTCTGTCACAGAACTTTCCAGAGTGGCTGGAAATAATACAGGGTAATCAGCATGGGGAGTCCCAAAAAGAGGGACCTTTGTTTATTCCAGATTTAACCCTTTTATGTACATAACAGCAACATAATGGAGATGGAAGGTCTGGCCTTTATTCTACATTATGAAAGAAACATTTGGTAGCCAGGCATGATGTACCCCACAGTTGGGTGGAAAAGAAGACAAAGATCTCTAGTCCTACACACACACACACACACACACACACACACACACACACACACACACACACCTCTGGCCAATTAGTCTACTACTTGGGGCTCTGATCTATCTAAATTGATGCATTTGAACTATGATGCTGGTGTAAATTATTGCCTATATAATGGATAGCTAGAATAACCAACAGAGAGGTGCTGAACCGTATAAAACCAGAAGAAGCCAAAATCACAAGACTATGTCTGATTTACTTTGGTCGTGTCAAGTGTGCAAATTCATTGGAGAAGTCAGTGATACTAGGAATGGTTAGTGGATCAAAAAGCAGGGGTAAGCAAAGAATTTTCTGGCTTGACACTATCAAAGCTGATAAAAAGCTGGACATCCAACAAATGAAAAAAGCTGTGCTTGACAGGGTAGCATGGAGAACGCTTGCCTATAAAGTTGCCAAGAGTCGGACATGACTGAACAGTTAAACTAACTAACTCTGATCCGTGAACCATGGATGCTCAGGTACCCACTGATCCTTGGGCTCCAACCACCTGCTTGCCCCACCCATCTCTTTGAGTTTCCTTTCATTACAAAATAAACACTGAAGGGGAATTGGAATGTGGCAAAGAAAAAAGCCAATCGTGTCTCCATCATTACTTTTGGGTCCCACAAAAAGCTACAACTGCATCATTAGAAAGAAACAATGGGAGGGAGGACATTGCCTAGAGGGAAAACCCCCTCAACCTTCTGGCATGATAAATACAAATGCAATTTTGAGAGCATATTATTGGTACTCTAATAAAGTTACTGTTGAAGTAGGTGTGGCCAGTAATAAATACAGATTCCCCAGAAGGCAGACTGGTGAGATTTCTCCACCACTTCTTGTATTATTCCAGGATGTTGTTTATCACATTGGCTTTATGAAAGACAACATCCTGGAATAATAGAAGTGATGGGAGAAATCTCACCAGTCTGCCTTCTGGGAAATCTGTTACTGGCCACATCTACTTCAACAGTCAATTTACAGAGTGCCAATAACACGCTCTCTCCAGTGATGGCCCACATGACCCAGGGCAAGCTGGATTGCTTCAGCTGTGAGAAGCCTGGTCTAAGGCTTCCTGAAGCCGATGAGAACTGTGGCCCGCTGCAACTGAAGAGTTTAACTGAGCCACAAAGTTGAACGTGCCTGCGAAGCAGTGGTACGCACCGAGCAAGGAAGCGGTATGAGCTTTGAGGGTGTGAGTGTCTGTATTTCCGCGACTCATGCGCAGAATTCACACCGCGCCTTCCCATTGGCGATCAAGGGGGCTAATCGTGGTAAATACAAATCATTTTTTTGAAAAATAAAGGGACGGATTACAATATTGATGGTGAATGTAAATGAAAAGACAGTTTCCAAAGCCTTCCTCTCCCATCGAGGGAAACCTGAGTCGCCTGGTGTGACGGGGCGCTGGACGAGCTGGGCCTTGTGGTGAAAAAAATAAGACATCCTCCAAAAATAAGCCCTAATGGGTCTTTTGGACCCAAATTAAATATAAGACCTGAGCTTATTTTCGGGAAAATACGGTAGCACTGAGGATGTTACCTACCGTAGTTAGGGTAATGAAACGTCTGCAAGAAAATAGGCAAGCTCAGAGAGCACCAGGGACCCCCTCAAGAAATAATTACTTTATGTTCAAAGAACAAAATTAAAATTGCCTGCGCTGCATTGGTGATATATACAGAACCTATCCTGTTTGACAAACCCCTGGAGAAAAATAAACATATTATTATTAAAGAATGAGTAATATAAACTGTAATAAAAAATGCATGGCTCAATGACAGTGCCTTTGTTCTACAAAAATTTCAAATTAAGCTCTTGATCTTTTCAAATAAAGCTCAAAATGGCTTTTTTTGTGAAATTCTGGAGAATTGGCTGCCAATTAGGGCAGAAAATATGCTTCTGTTCCAAGAATCAGATTAAGAAACAAAATATTTTATCTCTGTATTTTAATGTAACAACTCTCTAATCCAGATGTAGGTAAACTGTGGGAGTTTTTGTGTTTTTACATTTCCTAGGATCCTTAGAACAACTGATCACTGGTAAGAAGTGTTCATAGTCCAACAACATCTGGAATGCAATTAGCCACTTATTCCTTCTCTTGCAAACAGATTTGCTTGCTTGCTTGATTGGTATCACCAATTTCTCCCTGATTGCCAACTTAAGAATTATGTACTGTATTTCCAAATGCACATCTCCATCCAAAGAGCACATCTTACCAAGAGTTAAGGCCTGTCTTACAAGTAACTTCTCATAGTTAAGCCAGGGAACCTAATTAGATTTGCTGGATTTCTCATTGACTAAGATGCAAAATGCCATTGTTGAATAGTTTTTTGTTAAAAAAAAATATCTCAGATAAATATAATTTATGGGACTGCCAGGATAGACTTTTACACATTATAGTAGCAGAAACAATACATTCAATGCACAGAAAGATATGTTTTCATTTTGTGTCTCAGGTGTAATACAGTGTTAAGACTTATTGTATGTTAATGTGTTACATAAAAATTAAGTATTTTAAACTTTCACTTACTGAACTAAAATCAAACATAAGATCTTTACCTATCAGGGTCCAAAAAAGAGCAGCAATAAAGAAGGAAGTTTGGTAGTTCAATCTGAAAATAATAAGATATTATTTTGCAACAATGTTTTGCAACCTTTGTGATCGACAAGGTTGAAAAACACTGCTTTAGAAAATATTCTTCCAAATGAAACTTAGTTACAGAAGATCAATGTCATTGTTAATTTGGGCGAGATTGGTGAATTTCATACCTTTGTTCTAAACTAAATCTCGATCAATTCAACTTTTAGCTCATTTCAAACATATACTACTGTATGGTCTTGCGTGTATCCAAGCATTACCATAGGTACAATGTTTTCTTTTTCACACAATTTTCATAGTCTTCATAGAAGACTTCTTAATATCTTTGTTTTTTTACGACTGCACAGGCAAAGAGCAAGCAAACCACAATGCTTGTCCCAAATCAGATGTTTCACATTAATCTGAATGGGGTGGATATCTGAATATGGATTTGGATGGACTCAATTGCAGATCCCCAATATTTTGTGCTATTTTGAGAGCATGTTGTGGGCACTCAGAGAATGGCTACACATAGAAATCCTGGCTGAGGTCTTCCCAAAATAGTAGTCACAAAGAACATGAATGGGGGGGGGCATGATTGCAGTGTTCCAATATCTCAGGGGCTGCCACAAAGAAGAGGGAGTCAAGCTATTCTCCAAAGAGCCTGAAGGCAGGACAAGAAGCAGCGGATGGAAATTAATCAAGGAGAGAAGCAACCTAGAACTAAGGAGAAACTTCCTGACAGAACAATTAACCAGTGGAATAACCTGCCTCCAGAAGCAATGAATGCTCCAACATTTGAAGTTTTTAAGAAGAGACTGGACAGCCATTTGTCCGAAATGGTATAGGGTTTCCTGCCCAAGTAGGGGGTTGGACTAGATGACCTCCAAGGTCCCTTCCAACTTTATTATTATTATTATTATTTACAAAATACTAATCAACTAGGAGGAAAAATGGTGAGGTTATTTTATAGCCTCCAAGATGGTTATGGTCACTCCCATCTTACAGAATTGTTTTATTCTGGACAAGAAGGCACATTTACAAAGTGTTAGTCTGAAATTAATCACCCTTTTTTATTTTCTAAGAATGTCAATGGATCTGCACAGAGTCCATGCATGTTTTCAGAAGATCCTATAATACCTACAATAGAGCAATAGTTAATGACAGAACTGGTAATAAGGGCTAAGTTATGAGAGAAATATCACTGAAGGAATTCATCTATATACTTCTTCATTGAAAGTTCTTTGTGGATTTTTTGCAAGAGATGGAGAAAAAATCAGATTTTGACATATGGATTTGATGTTTGTTAAAATTTAAAAAGGGAAATGGACATTATATTACAGTCTTAAACTAAGAATTGAACGTAAGTCTTCCCTATATCCTTGAAAGAAATCATTTTTGTGTATTTTTTCCTTTCTTTGTTCTTTATACATTTTTGCACTTATATCTTCATTCTCTCTTTACTTTGTATCTTATTCTTGGTTAGTTTATGTTGTTTTTTATGTGTAAAATTAATAAAATTATTAGATGGCAAAAAAAGAAGAGAATTCCATTTCTACTTTGTAGCAATTCAGCATTTTTTAAATATAAAATAAAAATGTCTTTAATCAATAAATAAAACACAAGGGACTGGAAGCCAAGCAAGGCAATTGATATCTGCACGTGCACCCTATATCAGTTGCAAGGCTGTATCAAATGTGGATATTATCCCTTACTTTCCTTCAGTGAGATGCACGAACAACATTAATGTATAAATGTCTACACAAGGTAAGTAATTATTGATTAGTTAGTTTTTAATCTTTCTAGTTTTAAAAAAAAATCTAATAAACCTATCGTAAAGGAAAGAAAATGAAGGGGGGGAACCCGATACAGTACCTTCATAGGCGCAAGCTGAATGGGTGTGATGCATGAAGGATCCACCATTGGCTTTGGCCTGTTTGCTGTGTCTGCCAGCAAACTATGCCATTGTTGAGGTAGTCCGGTGAATTTTTGTTCTCTGTGATCAAATCCAGTGTGTACCCTGTGTTCAAAATTGGAAGGGCCAGAAATTTCAATCTTTTTCTTTTTCTTTCCAAACATGATGGAAAAACCTGAAAAAGAAGGAAAAATGTGGTATAAGATACACATTACTAAGGACACGTGGTGCATACTAACAGAATGTATACTGATGATTGGATAGCAAAGAGGACAAGAAATGAGCACAGAGCTGGTGACATATAAATAATACAAATTCATGTTTACTGCATATGTCTCTCTCTTTCTCTCCCCCTGCTTTTGCCTACTTTTTTTCTTTTTTGCCAGTTAACGTATTTTTTCCTGAGCTGAAATAAGCGATATGTACACTTGCTGTAATCTAGAATTGACTGGAAGTATGCTGGGTGCAAACTAAACTGGAAATTGTCCACAGTAATTTTTTCTAACAGAGAGGCTATAGGCCCAAGAAAGCTTACTCTGAGCACCCCAAAGTAACTCAGCCATTCAACATTCCAATTTATTTTCAGCCACTAGATCAGGGGTGTCAAATTGCCGGCCCGTGGGCCAGATGCGTCATGGTGAAACCACGCCAACCCTATTGCCGGCAATGGAAAAAAAGTCATGATACGTCGCAACATGTCATGTGATATTGCGAGTTTGACACCCCTGCATTAGATCAAGCATTCAGCTGAACCAGCACTCAGAGCCCAATGTCACAGATACTCATTAGGACCTAAAATATCCTAATCAAGGAGCATTTTTTCATGCTTTCAAACTTAGCAAATAGCAATGAAACTGGGATTGGAAAATCTCATACTTGAAGAAGGGTAACTACAGCCCCTGGAGATGAAAATGGGGGCACCATCTAGCTCTCTGAAGTCTTTGAGATAACAGATCCAGGAGAAACCCAAACCACAAAAACTGAGAAAGGATATATTATTTATGACTGGAATAATTCTAAGAATGAAGACAACAAACTGAAAATTGATTCAAAATTGTGTTTAGCTAAGTTAAGACAGGCATTAAAGACAAACTCAGGAATGAACAATAATACTTCAATGTTCAGAAAAAATGGTAAGCTCAAAATTATTAGAGAGCAAAAATGGTGTGGAATATGTGCAGAGTATCTCTCTATTCAGAAGACACTAAACAAAATAGTGTAAAACTTTCTAATGAAGAATCTGTTATTAAGTATTAATATAAATACTTTTATAAAATATCAAATAAAAAAATTATATTTTTCTCGTTATATTCAAAGTTCATGATGAAATTTCCCTTAAGAATATAATTGCTAGACTGGAGGTATATCAATATGATTGAGCCATGCAATTGAAGGGAATTCTCTATACCAGAGGTCCCCAATCCCTGGCACGTGGCCCACTACTGGGCTGTGGCCTATTGGCAACCGGGCCATGGTCCAGCAATCTTGGCTTGTGCGGGAAATGGGTCAGCTTGCACATGAAGGTGCACGCAGCTCAACTCTTAGTTGAGCTGTGCGTGCATTCACTCGTGCCACCAGTTCTCCTCTCTCCCCCCCCCCAAGCTGGGCTGCCAAGCCGCAAAGGTTGGGGACCCCTGCTCTAAACCTATGAAGGAAAGAAGAAAAGAACTGATCAATTAAAGCAGAGGTCTCCAAACTTGGCCGCTTTAAGACCTGGGGACTTCAACTCCCAAAATGCCTCAGCTAGCATGGCTGGCTGAAGAATTCTGGAAATTGAAGTCCACAAGTCTTAAAGCAGCCAAGTTTGAAGACTTCTGAATTAAAGGGTGGGGGTTCATTACATCTATGTATCACATAGGGCAATAAAATAAATATATTTTATTCTGGTGGCAAAGTTGCAAGGCTTTCACATACATAAGTTTTCAGTATGCTTTTTGCTTCTGGAAAAAAAAAGAGATGCATAAACAATAGAACAGCACTGATGCTATCTTCATAGCATGTTGTTTGCTGGTTGACATTAAATTTTGATAGAATGGAAACTCATGCACTCCAGATGATGTGGGCTCCAATTTATGCTACGAAGCTTTTTCATGCAGCTTTCTATTATTTGCTTGAATTACTTTTACTATATAGATGGAACTGTTACTTTTTGTTTGTTGTCATGATGATTTATTTACCTTGTCCTTTGCACATGGAAAATATTTTGCTTCTGTTAGAATTACATATATAATTCTTTATCCTTAAATTTAGGGGCAGGAAACCTGTGATTTCCAAATGTTGCTGAAAACAAGGACAATAATAATTTCTTAAATATCAGTCCCAGATTCCATCATCAATGCTCATTTTAGAAAGAGTTGCCGGAAATTATACTTGGAGAGTTACAGGTTCCCTGCTTGTGCTCAAAACAGAACCTACACTTTTTATATAGAAATCTATGCTGCTGGAGTTGGCCACTTTAGGAGAAAATTGCCAGTCTTTCAAACATCCACCCTGCTCTTATGTTCCACAAATCTGTTAAATTAATATCTGCAGTGTCTTTGGTGGTCCATGCAGATGATTCCTGAAAAAATAAATAGTGCGTTAAAAATGTAACTATGGACATACGAAAATTACTGCAACTCAACTCAGATCAAAGGGACACGCCAAGTAAAGTCCACAGCATGAGAAAAGGGATCATTTTTTTTCTTGATCAACTTTATCAGATTGTGAAAACTGTCGTTTTCTGGAAAACACCTACTCTGACATGTAGGCTTGGAATAATGTGATTCCAAGATCAAAGGAATTGAGTTTTCCACCCCTCTCTGTGAATAGACAGCAATCTGAGCAGCTGAAATTAGTTCCATTCAGTCATTCTGGTCCAGAATAACACAGAAAAACCTCTTTCACAAAACTGTTCATCCAGATTTTGGGAGAAAAAGCTAAGGGGGGGGGGGCAGGATATTGGCCTCCTTCAGTTCAAAGTTACAGCAGCTACTTGAAAAACTGCTTCCAGACTGACTTGTGAGACAATCCATCATAGCTCTTATTTTCTTGGAGAGGAAAAAAAAATTCTCTTGAGAGGCCACTTACTATATTTCTTAGTTTTTCTCCTCACTAAAATAGCACTTTTGCTTCTGAAAATCAAGCATTATTAAAGAATCCAGCACTGCATCAGTCTGTAATCACAGAACTCTATGCTCTGAGGCTTAACAGCATGATTGCAATCCTCTAGGAGGATGTGAATTGCTAAATTTTTTAGCTTAAAATTGTGTTTATTTTGGCCTTCTGAAGCTTCTGCCCTTTTTGTTCTTTTAAAAGGGATTCCCCAGCAATAAGTGAGCCCTCTCAGAGATTCAGACCCAAAACAGGAGGGAGGGAGGGAGGGAGGGGAAGAAAGGAAGGAAGGAAGGAAGGAAGGAAGGAAGGAAGGAAGGAAGGAAGGAAGGAAGGAAGGAAGGGAGTTTCACACTCTCTTATGACTGTGTATGATATAAACATAATGTATATTTCATGACATTTATCTACAGGAGGAAAAATCAATAAAATTGGCCAACTGGAAATATTCCTTAAATTATTTATTTAACAGTTCTATGTTCTATGTATTTTATTTTATTTTATTTTTTTGATAATCACAAGCCCTGCTGAACAAGACCAAGATTTTATTTGATCTAACTGTATTATTTCTAACAGAGATCAGAAAAAAGTTTCTGCAAAAATCAGATGGGATTTATGGTTTTCGCAATGGATTGTCCAGGGTTGATACTTGGGCAGGGATTATGGGAACAGAAACACTACACACCTGGATGGAATTAATGCTGCTCCAAGGCAGAGGGGACTTATTTTTTGATCTTTTTTAACATTTAAGTCAAATTCACAACATTAAAATGAATTCAGATTCCAGATAGATACTCAAAGGAGACATGCATTGCCCTACATACTGCAAATATTGGTGGCTTCAAATGAAGCTTCTTATATAATTTCCTGACTTATTAACTTGAAAAAAAATAAGCACCCCTTCTGAATACACTTCTTTTTAGATTGAGGACTTAGTGGTTCCAGCCTATCAGTTAGGGGACCTTGACCAGAACATCTTTCTTTGTTCCATAAAGAACATTCATTCCTGACAACACTATAAAAGCAAGTGGATGAGAAGAATGTCTGAAGCATATTGTCAAAGATTTAACAGATTCCGCAAAAAAAAAAAAAAGGTACGCCATATCAACATTTCTTGATGAGCCAAATATGACAAGTGTATATTTTAATTGCATTTTAGAAAGCAAGTGATGTAATCCTTGGATGGGGTCAGCGGCAATGAGATTTGGGGGCTGAACATGTTTTTTTTCATACTTTTCCAGCCCATTTCCATGACAGCGTTGACTTCTTCATAGCGTTCCTCATTTTCTTTCTTTTTTTTTTTTTTGAGGGGTCTGTTGATGCACAAGCAAGCACTAAACAAAAAAAAATGTTTTTTACAAAAAGACAGTGGTACTGATGGAAATACTAATAGCAAGACTGGGCCTATCTAAACTATCAGGTAGTCATGGTAAAAGGTAGATTCTGGAAGAGCAGTAGGGTACTGGTGGAGGAGCACATCCTTTACTCTAGTTACTTGAAGTTAGTCTACTAATTCAAATGCAATGGAAAAAGGTGGCCTATGGACCCAATTGATGGGAAAGGCCACCACCATTCATATGATTTTGCTTCTGGAAAAGGAACACACATCTATGCTATTCACATAGGCAGCAAAATATTTTGCAAAAAATAAGTAAGTTAAAAATGAGTCGGATTCCGAGGGCAGAATCGGGGGGGGGGGAGGAAATATTCAGTCCAAATCTAAATCAAAATCTTCCTTGTAAGGTGGACAAGAGTGGCAAGTGAGAAATGGCTTAGAGTGCAGCTTTGTAACCAAAGTTTGAGGCTGTTTTCGTGGGCAGTCCTTGCTAATTACACGGCTTGAAATGCTAGGTTGTTAGCTTGGACTTCTGCCATAATTTGAGGTTCTCATACCAGCAGTGTATTTTTTTTTTTTTTTGCACTTTCCCTCATTCTACTTTAATCACTGATTCTGTTGGGTGTGTTGGTACTTTTGACTGACTCTTTCTGAACTACACGGGCCTGCACCCTGCTAGTTTGTACAATGAGTGTGTCCATGTGGTTTAGATAGCAGATGTTTTCCCACACTTTTGGCTGTTATTG